TAGACTTTTATTTTTAATACTTAAATAATTTTCAAAACTAGTATTATATTTTTAAGTAAAAGATTTATATCAAGACTTTGCTTTAGGAAAGGAGAAGTGGAATTCAAAACCATTAAAGGCCTATTCAGATATAGTAATCCTTGCCTAAAAAAGGAAAAAGAAAAAGAAGAAGCAAAAGAAAAAAAGAAAAATAAAAAGAAAAAGAAAAAAAGAAAAAAGTAAGGGAGGAGAAGCTTGAGGATTAGTGCCTAATCAAAAATTGGTTTCACATTTGATCTTTTTAAAGTATAAGACTTGAGAAACTCTTAAGCTTAAGGATTTAATATAGTAAGTAAAATTATTTTTAATAAAAATTTTTCAGTGGAGATAATAAAAGAACTAAATTCTAAATTTGGAGAATCTACAATATTTCTGAATTAGAACTCATATTTTTATCTTTCTTTATCTTTCTTAACATTAAAAATTCTAAACTTTAAGTTGGTCTCATTTACTGAATATTTTTTCTAAATTAAACTACTATATTTCTAAATCTAAATTTTAGTAACTCCAAAAGAAACTTATATACATATCATATTTATTTATTTTTTAAAGATTTAAGTGTCACTTCAGGACAAGTAACAGTTTAAGTTGGGGGGATTTTGATACACCAAAATATATAGTGTTTTTAGAAACATTTTTATATCTGTTTTTGAGATATTGCGCTTTAATGGATGATATTTGTATGTTTTTGTTTCAGGTATAAGTAAGAAGTTGAAAAATGCTAAAAGAAGTGAAAAAGGATCAAATTGGGAGGAAAAATGTGAAATTTGTGCAAAAGTGTTTTGGCACCTAAGCGCCGGTGAAGCAGAGAAGGCCGTGCCTAAGAGCTTGAGACCCCGCTCTTAAGCGTCAGAGGCAGTTATTTGGCGGTTTTCTTCATTTGGCCCAATTTTGAAGAGACATTTGAGGCATCTATTGGCTAAAGAAGGTGATTATAACCATTAAGAATGAAATATTATTAAAAGACTTGTGAAAGGAGGCATCCCTTGGAGAATACATCGAATTTGGACACATTTTGAAGAATTTCCAAGGAACCCGTTGGGAAATTCATAAAAGAAGGAAGTTAAGACAATTGAAGGGGGTGCTTGAAAGTTCTAAAAAGAGTTTGAAGAGGAGTCCTGAGGAGTTTGGAGAGATAGTTTTGGAGAGATTTTCAGGCACCACACAAATTTATTTTATCCTTTTTGTTTTTAGTTTATTTTGAGAGTGTAGTAAAAGAGAAGAGATTCAAAGGAATTTCAAGAGTTTGTTGGAGGATTTGAGATAAGTTTTTATCTTTTGTTTTAAACTACTTTTGGTTTTAATTGAGACTTCTTATTGGTTTGACAATGATTTTTGCTTTTAAACTAAAGTGTAGTTTTGTTTTCTCCATGGATTCTGAGTAGTTTTCTTTATCCTTCTCCTTAAAATGATAAGTAATTAAAAGTGTTGGATGGAAGATGTGGAGAGTATTAATTTTTAAAGTTGAAAGAAGTTGTGATGATTTAAATCCATGTACTTCATTTACTTCTTAATTTGGTCTATCCAGAAGTTAATATTTATTGTGAGAACATGTAAGAACCGGGATGGTATTATCTCAGTCAACAATTGGAAAGAATCGCATGAGGTTGTTTGAATGAAAATGTAATTCATATGATTTAGTGCAAATAAATAGGGAAATAAATTTTGAATGATGTAGAGTTAGAGGACTTTAAAGTGGCAGGTTAAAGCCCCCAATGTGGTTTATTATTTTAGGTTCTGAAACGAGATGTTAGCCCCCAGGTGGAGGGAATCGACAGAACTCTAGAGTGAGAATTGATATCTTTCCTGCCTAGCCGGTCATCAGAGCTATTAAAACTTTAAATTAGCTAATGTTCTTTATAACATCACTAGTAAGAGTAAAGAATATTATAGCTCCTATTTGGCATAATACAATTTACATACTTCCACAACAGAATTCCTAAACTTATTTTTGATTCATGATAAGGAGAAAAGTATTTCCATATCAATTGATTTTGTTTTACATAAACTCAAGTTATCTTATTTAGTTGTTATTGTTTTTGTCAAAATATCAAAAATACTAAAAAAAGATTTGAATTTTAATACTGTGAAAATATCTATAGTTTAAGTAATTGTCTTTTTAGAATAGAAAGTTTGTTGTTCAATAGTGCATATTGCACAATTTTCCCGTGGGTTCGATATTTAGGTCTTAGTAAAAAAGTTCTATATTACTTGATAATGATACATATACTTGCGTAGTATCCCAATATATAAAGTAAAGATTTAAATTCTTATTTTCTTCTTATCAAGTTTTTGGTTTTGTTGCAAAGTAAGGAAATATAAGCGAATTTATAATTAAAGTCATTGTTATACTGTTGCATATAAGAAGTTTCAGGATCATAACACACCTGCGACATTTCAAATATGTATGATGTCAATTTTTTGTAATTTAATTAAACGTGGAATGAATGTATTTATGGATGATTTTTTTTGTATTCGAAACTTCATTTAAATTATGTTTAAATAATTTAGAAAAAGCTCTAGAACTATGTGAAAAAGTCATATGGTTAGATCGTAGGCTCATAAAGAAGAAGACTAGATTTCAACAAAAGTGAGGTCAACAACAACCTTCACTTCAATTCTCTGTATTTCATATGTTTTTTTTTCTTTATAGAAAGTTCTTAGGTTTAAATTCAAAATTTTATTTTTGACAAAATTGCAAGATCTTCTTTCTAAGCCACCAACACTAGCACAACCCCTAATTGAACTAAAACACCCTTTCATACTCTTATATCATCTAAAAACTGCCACATTAACTTTTGATTGATCATAATTGATCACTCATAAATCACCACAAGACTATCATAAATATGTATTTTAATTATGAATAATTTTTTTTTTGTTTAAGATAAATAACTTTACCCTCTTAGAGCTTAGTACCCTTGGGAAAGATTTTATTTTAACATTATTTTTTATAATAATTTTAAATAAACTCAACCACTACTTATTCTTCATGTCATCTAACATTTCATATAAAAAGCATAACATCTCCATTTAAAAAAAAAAAGAAATAGAGTGATATGCCAAGTTATCTAAAATTGGCTAATGTTAGATCAACGTGATCTATTCTAGGTTTTTCTTCCACTTCAACAACTTATAATACATGGAAATTTACACTGAACATCATATCACTAATGAACATCCCTTCATCATTTACTGGAATTTCTAAAATAAGGTATTAAGTAATTTGCAAACCTTTATTGTTTTGTTCTAAGCTGGATTTCTACTCATGTCAGCCAAGGGAGGCCATCTACCCATTATTTTAAATTTAGTCATCTTCAACCTTAGGGGGTGTTTGGTAGCACAATTTTAATAAGATTTTACAATCTGGCCAAACACCGAAAAATGTAAAACCAAATCTAGCTCTCCATTAAATTCAAATCTCTCCCATTCCATCTGTTTCTTTCAATTCCGTTTCTTCGTAAAAATGTGGACTTATCAAACCCGACTAAGAGTTAGATTACACGAGTTTACATCGAGGTTTCTCACCTGCTCCATCTATGTAATGAACTGATCGAAAACCATGGATTTGATAAATCCCAATAACATAAATCTTTTGTTGCAGCCAAAGACCGCCTTAGTGTTCATAAGGTGACATTAGTACACTACACTTATAAAAATTAAAAACCCTTGAAAGAAATTCATTATAAATAATCATTGAAGTCTAAAACATTATCATTTTTAAGTTCATGATTTTTATGATGGCCAAAATCAAGTTTTGATCATAAACACGAGGCTTAGTCTAATAAATCTTCTAAGTGTTGTGGAATAATGAATGATTTTTTTATGATAAGCCTAGTTTTTTTTAAGCTAACATTAATCAAAATTAGCTTAGTTTGAGCTAGTCTAATCAATGAAATTAAAAAAAAAAAGGCAATGATAAATTTCTATTTATTTTATATAGGTGTGTATGATACATATACAAAGTAAAATTAAAAGCATTTGGAATGTTAATATCGTGCTTAATCCACTTACATGTCTATGACACAAACTAAGTAGATAAGCTTCGTGATGGTAGAGACAGTGGAAGGTAGCAAAAGGGATGCCGTAGATATTTGCGTACGAAAAGTGTACGCATTCGTACGCAGAGTTGCGTATATTTTAGCTTATTCAGAGGGTACAACTAGGTTACAGTTAGGTTATAGAAAGAATTACAAGGATGTATAACTTAAGTGTAACCTATTTATATCTTCCAAATAACTTAAAATGTACGTAACTTTGCGCACGCTTTCCGTAGGCAAATATTTCTCCCTAAAAGGGAATGTTTTATCAAAATTTGTGCCAACACTCGGGCTATCATTCAAGAAAGACATTATTTGAATTTTGATTTAGGTACATTGTCCAATAAAATTTTAAAAATCATTTCAAAGTATTATTTTAAATTGTCATCTTTTGCATTGTATTTTTGAAATAAAATAAAATATAACAAGATCAAATGATAAATGTGAGAAAAATATACCTAAAAATTACTGTTCTTTATTCTTTCACGAATTAGAGTACAAAATTAATTATAAATGATGTTGTTTGAAAAATCACACCATCAAAAATCAAGCGATGCCACAAGCCAAATGAAAAACATTATTTAATACATGCTCTTACCATCTTGGCACCCAACTTTCCCTGCAAGCCATCATCCTTCCATCCTACAAGGCTACAACAACCGATCAGATAGACTCGGCAACCGCCGAAAAAAATTGAGTGCTGCAGGCGGCATAGGATCTCTAAACATGGGATGCCTCAAAAAATAAAACCCCAATGCCACCATCACCATCTTCAGTGGCACCATATAAAGCACAAGCGACATCACCAAACACATCACAATAAAAACCCTAGTGGCCCTTGGATCCCTCCAACTCACCAATGCTTGTACCCTCTCCCCCTGCGCCGCTAAATCACCCATGACCGATTGCACCCTCGCCGCCAATGTTCTTAATCTATCATACCTCAACTTCACTACCTCCGCCGCCTTTCCAGTCGGCACACCATCAAACTCTTCATCTAGCTCATCCACTTCTGCGCCTTCAGCCTGTGACAACCGCGCGTCCATTCCCGTTGGTCCTCTCGGCCTAAAGCGATAATACCATGCTCCGATTAAGAACAAATATAAAGTCGCTGTTGGGGCAGCTAGCTCCGGGTACCACACTAGCACCAAGTACAAGATATGAACTAAAACAGTAGTCATAGGATTTCGCCATCGGCGCAAGTCGTCAAGCCATTGGGCCAAGCCAACGACCCATGCGATGACCCCCAAGATACGAAACCAATTTGCCTTGCTCCGCCGTAAGCTCCAAGAGTGTGAGTCCGCGTCGAGCATGTAGCGCACAACCTCTGGACCAAGCGGCGGCTCTGCCCTCGCCAGCCATGCCGCGACTATTCTAATAGCCGCACCACGTAGTGCTTCCTGTTGTGCCACTCCTAATGGCCTCAGATAGTGCATTCGTGGCAACATGGGGGTGGCATAGAGAGCGCAGGTGTCAGGTAGTAGTGCTGAGCTCGCAAAGCGAACAGCTATTCGAATCTCTCCCATTTTCTTTAATCCCGAACGGAGCAACACAAGAAGCGGATAAGATTGGGTGTAAATGCGGTTGCTTTCTAATGTGGAGACGCGGATGCGGATTTTACCAATGCGGTAGTCTGGGCGGTCTTCTCCGCCTTCGGCGAACATGCGCCAATTGTCAAAGACGGCGATGGTAAGAACAGTGCAGGGGTCGTACACCTTCCATGTGTATTGCTCGTTCCACCGTGGGTCGAAGCTGTCTGTGATGGTCCTTGTACGCGTCCACTTCTTCCCATATTTGGCAATGCAATAAGCGTCTGTTGAGCCTTTTCCGTTGCTTTTGGTCTTCATTGGTTGTAGCCCACGCGCACCGAGAATCCCAAGCTCGAGCGACCCCACTACTGGTCTCCACAACTGCTTCGCCGTTGGACGGAAGTCGCTGCACACGTGTGCTGCCTCGTCCAGTACATGATAGCCTCCCTCCAAGCAAAGGCGTAATTGTATCCTCCCACCATAAGCTACTCCAAGTCCGTGCTCTTGCCCGTTACTGCCAATGTTGTCAAGACTAAACCACTTCGGAGGTACCAGCTGTCGTTCGTCAAAACGCTGATCTAGAGAGGCCACTGGGACGGCAGCGTGGGCTAGCAAGATGGGATCTTTGGCAGAGCGATCCTCAACAAGAACAATTAATTGGTCACCAAGCGGCTCCGAGACAACAAACATCAAATCTTCAAGCCAGGAGAAGGTAGACGCATTGCAATTTGAGATCGAACGTCTGGTGCGGGCGGATTGGAAGCCGAGTTGGATTTTCACATAGAGATTTACAGGGGAGCCGAGGGATGGCGAAGGGACACGGAGATCTTGAGCTTCAATGACCGAGGCGCGGAGGTACCATAGCTTTGGCGATTGATAGACTTTAGAGCGAGTGTAAGTTATGTAAGGTGCGTCTGAGTTGCAGGACTCGGGGAAAGCATCGTCTGCTTGGGTGCCGAGCCAAACAGATAACATTATATCACCCGTAACGTGGCGGTCTTCGCCACCCTCAAGATGGTACCACTGCGGGGCGAGCGGGCCATCAGGGGGATCTCGTACAGGAACGTCGGAGAGGTCAAAGCAGACACCGCCGAGGAATGCTTCACCGGAACTGCCGTCCCAAACTGAAATCTCCAGTGTGGGGTCTGGTTTGGATTGGTTTAAAGCAAAAACCTGATTCCATTCAGGGTTACAGGATGCATCTCGTGCCGATTTGGACCGCATGGAATGTGAACCTGACCGGATTTTGACATACGGACTCTCGCACTTACGAAGGCCACGGGCCCTGACGATTCTAATGAAAAGGTACTGCATTGGCTCGACCAGGTCGTAGACTGAAGGGACCAACGGGTCCGTTGAGGATGACATGAACTGGCCGGTGATTACCCGTGGGGAATGGGCGTACTCTGACGTGCCGTTCCGTCTGCTGGTCATACGGACCCGATCAAAGCTAACAGAGTTTTGGGCCTTCTTGACATCCGGCATCAGAGGAATATCCTCTCGTGCAGAAGGCGGCGGCGCCTGGTCGGCCGTGGGCGGAATCTCCTCGGCATTAATGACAGGGATGGCGACAGGAATGGCGAGCGGCGACTGTGGCTCAACGGCAGCCTCGGTGGGAGCGGGAATCTCCGGCGGCTCCGGAGCAGAGGAAGGCGGCAAAGGGGATACTGATTCTGGCTTCTTTGCATCGTCGGGGTTCTTCTCTTCATCAAAGTAATAAATTTTGAGGCCTATCTCGCCGTGAATCCAGCTAAGAAGACCGCGCTTCTCGAGAGGGAAATAGATAAGGCCCTCTTCACCACGGCGAGCGAACTGGGATCCGTAGATGCGGACGCGGCCGAGGAAATTGTTCTTTCGAGGTGCGGCTGAAGCGGCGGGGCCAAGGCGCTTGTCGTTGTAGACTTCGACGTTGAGCTCTTCGAGCTCCATGGAAGAGGGGTCGGAGACAATGAATTCATGTCGTTCGTTCCACTGAGGATTGAGGTCGCGAGCACGGGTATGGGTGCGCTTGCGCTGGCCGGCAAACTCGATCACCACATAGGGGCTGGAGGTGCCTTGCCCGTCTTTAGGAACGAGATCGCGGGCGTCGATCACCTCCACGACCAGCTTGCGAACAGTCGGCGGCGACGTCATGATCTCATGGTACGTGTTTGTCGACGTCGATCGATTCTTTACTCTTCTTTTGCTTTAGTGGGAGAGGATTGGAGGGAGAGGGTGGAGAGACCGGTGTCTTTTGCTTTTTGAAGTGGCGATAGATGCTGGGAATTTGCTTTTGCTTTAGTTATTATAGTAAGCATGGTGTTGATTGCTTTCATGGGATTCGTAAGCTTTCTTCACGTTGAAGCTCTTCCACCTCAACGTTCTGCCTGCTGCTTGTTATTTCTCGTGGAGCAGGGAAGAGAGAATTGTTCTGTCTTTCCCACCGAATCGAATTCGAACTTGCGCTGGTGGTGGTTTGGATTGTAGCTAAATCCGTAAAGTCGAATCCTAAAAAAAAGTGAGATACACTTTTTTCATATAGAGATAAGGGGAACATACATAAAATTTTGTTTATGTGATAGACATGTAAATATTTGAAATTAATTGGAATGTTTATAAATCAATATTAATCAGTGAGAATTTAAATAATTCACAGGATACAACAAGAAAGCCTTAATCCCACTTTGTGGGGTCGGCTACATGAATCCTTTTTTCCATTGTGCCCTATTCAGTGTCATATTTTCATTTAGTTCTAATAAATTAAGATCATTTTTTATACAATAATCCCAAGTCTTTATAGATCTACCGTTACCTTTCTTAACATAAGTCGAATCTAAAACATCTACTCTCCTAATCGAATCATCAGATGGTCGACGCTTAATGTGACCAAGCCATCTAAGACAAGTTTCTCTAATTTTATCTTTCACAGGAGCTACACCAATCCTATCACAGATATAATCATTTCGCATTTTGTCTCTAAGTGTAAAGCCACTCATCCACCTAATCATTCTCATCTCCACAACACTTAACTTAGTATTATGCTTCTCTTTTAAAGGCCAAAATTTAGCTCCATAAAGCATTGCAGGTCTCACCACCATCTTATAAAATTTTTCTTTCAGTCTAAGCGGTACTTTTCTATTACACAAAAGGCTTGACTCATTCCTCCACTTCAACCAACCAACTTGAATTCTACTATTAACATCCCCATCTATACACCATCGCTTTGAACAACAGACCCGAGATATTTAAATCGTTCAAACCTTTTTAATAATTTGATCACCCAAAGTTACACTTTTGTCACTAGAGTTACTACTACTAAAATTACATTCCATGTATTTAGTTTTAATTCTACTCAAATGAAGGCCTTTAGACTCCAATGTAGATCTCCATAATTCAAGTTTTTCCTAAGCTTTTTCTCTCATCTTATCCATGAGAAGGATATCATTAGCAAAAAGCTTACACTAGGGTACATCCTCCTGTAAATGTCCAATAAGACCATCCATAACTAAAGGGAAAAGATATGGGCTTAAAGTCGATCCCTAATGTAATCCAACAGAAATAGGAAAATATTTGGTCAATCCTCCTTCAGTTCGGACACAAGTAACAACTCTAGTATATATATATTTAATGACTAGAATATAAGTCATATCAACACCTTTCTTCTCAATAACTCTCCAAAGAATATCTCTTGGAACCTTATCGTAATCTTTTTCTAAATCAATAAAAATCAAATGTAGATTTTCCTTATTATTTCTGAACTTCTCCATCAAACTTCTCAATAAATGTATAGCTTCCATAGTAGACCTACCCGACATAAATCCAATTTGATTATGAGAAATCATTGCAATACGTCTTAAACTATGTTCAATTACCCTCTTTCATAATTTTAAAGTAAAACACATCAACTTAATTCCTCTATAATTCGCACACTTATGTGCATCCCCTTTATTCTTAAAAATGGGGTCCAAAATACTCTTCCTCCACTCCTTTAATTAGCCCGTCAGGTTGACTAACTCATTCTGTTTTTCAAAATACAATAAAAAAATGTACTTCTTGAAAGAAAACTTATATTGTGTTTGTCAAATGTTAACAAAATTCAAACTACTATTGCATGACAACTTAAAATTCAACTTTGAAAATGTATTTTTGGACAAATTCATGTGTCCGTCACACAGACTGGGTTGATGGCCATCCTCCTATGATTGCCTGCCCGACAGCATTTTACCCTATGTTGGGTCTTGCAGACATGATACTTACAAGTTGCCTAAGGATTTCCTTCAAGAAGAATTGCTAGAGCTTCGGTCATGGTTCTAAACACCCCCATAACTTAAATTCTTACACCCAACCTCGATCTTCAATATGTAACATTGCTTTTTGTTTGCTTGAGTTTTCATGACTTGTTTAAGTTTTCCTCTGCTTTTTTTATGATTTGTTTAAATTTCCTGCACATTATTATATTACGTCGTACTAACATTACAACAGTGGTTGGACTCCAATGTATGCTTGCTTATTTTATATTTACTGAATTTTACTACATTTTTACTACACCTTTCTACTTCTTGTACTTCTGTACTTATTTATAATACCTGCGAAGGTCTTAGGGTGGACAACAGTAGGACATATGCTAGGTGGTACTTTGCGGCAGAACATGAACAAACAATTTGCATGTTGACATAAACTTTAAACTCATAAACACTATGATATGAGGCTTGGAGCAAGCTTTTGGCAGCACGATGAGGATGCAAGTGAACGACAGTGGACTTCCACCGACTAATCAAGGCACGATATGAAACAATATCTACTTTAACTAAAATTTCCTTAGTTTAAAATAACATAATTCATAGGACTTTGAAGTAGCTTGTCTAGCATGACCTAAATCCTCACTATATCTTTTGTCTCCTGCAAAACCTTATCGTGCTGCACAAGTCCTAAATCTCTTTTGGCTTTGAGGTTGTCGTTTGATATGACGTAAACTCTCCTTTTTTTGTGAGCAATTTGCATGATTATGTGTCATGTAAGTGTAAGCTCTAAATAATAAAATTGATAGGATTAAAACATCAAATAACTTCATCTTCAAGATTGAAGCAAAATAATAAGATAGTTGGAAAATTACCAGGGTTCTCCTAAGAATCCTTGATAACCCCTACCTTTCACTTATTTTACTCCTAAAATATATGTTTCTATTTGTTTTTTTCCCAGTAGATTTTCTAATGTCTAATCTTGAAAAACTAAACGTTGATTTTTTGAAGACAAATACCTCTGATCATCATAAAAAATTTTCTCAAATGACTTTGGTCATTTAGGATGTAATTAACTATAGAGGTTTTCCCTTGTAAGGAACTTGTAACTCAGGTAATATAGACCTTATCTATTTTTTATATTAGGTAGAGGAACTTTTTGGTCACACAAAAAAGTTCGCAGACCAAATGAATGTCATAAACATTTTAATTTATTTAATCGAGCTCGTTGTCAAATAATGTGCATATTCTTTGGGATATTCAAATTGCTTGTAATGTTACGTTTGGTCACTTAAAATATTATAAATATATAATATCTCGTTAGTCTCATTTTTTTAAATATATTAAATTTTAAATTATTTTACAAAAAAATTCCAACCGACATGCCTAAGACAATTGTTTGTCTTCGTTGGCGAGGTGAAGTTTGATTCCATTTTCTCTCTTTAACATTTCAAAGTTTTTTTTCTCTAAGAAGAGGAAAAAATATTTTGTCCAGACGTTCGCACAACCAATCTCCGTTCGCCACGTCACCCGCCGATGAGCTATATGGCGACGCGTGTCTGGTGGTTAATCATCCTAATAAGCGGCGTCCAGACATAATATTTTCTCGAGAGGAATGAGTTTTACATACGAGTCCATATTTAATTGAACTACAATAGTATTATGACGTATGGTACATTTAAATCAGTTTAGAGTACAAAATTTGTACCATTAGGGTACAAGTAGGGTATAAATTTTGTATCCCACTTATACCTTGAGGGTATAAGTTTTGTACCCAATTGTGCCCTAACTCAATTTATATATGACACTACTCATGAAAATATTGATATCCGGATACATCCAGACTGTGCGCATAATATTCTGAGAGATATCAATTATGAGGGAAAGGCCAGGTGTTTAATAAGGGCTTAAATTTGAAGGTGATCAAGTAGAAGATGCTTTAGTTTTAATGATCAAAGTTTTTTTTCTGTCCCAATCAAGGGAAAGTATTTCATGTAAATGTTAATAATCTAACCTCACGTGACAGGATCCACTTTCATATAAAATAAAGTAGGAAAATTTATCTTTGTATGACCCGAACGGTGACCCAACACAATATATGTTATTACCACAAGGCTTTTTTATACCAAACACAATTTCCCCAGCATTTTTCAAGCCAGGACTTTGATAAACATATAGTGCTCCTCCGTCTTCAGTTTTATCATGCCAGATTCTTGTTTGGCCATAAAGAGCTACAAGACATGAAAGCATTAAGGTTGGCAGTTATTTTTAGCACGTATACCTCAGTTAGCTAGATTTTTTCATAATTTGTGCATTGGGAAGCCATTATGAACAACTTAAAAGCTAATTAAACTTGAAATTATTAAAATATAGAGATTTTTTTACTCTATAAGAAACTTCTATTATAGATCAATGTTGTGCATTTATTAGTCGAAAGAATTGTTTCGTAGTAGTCCAAGTTATGTTTAAAATGGTTGTCTTTCATTTTGGTATTTTGATTTCTGAGAAAACTATTATGTATAATGATTTTGCATCTGTTGGAATAATACATATAATTCCATATATCCAGTATTTGCTATTTTTTGTTCCATTAAAGTAGAAATTTTTAAATTTTAAATGATGTGTACAAAAAAGTCTTGAAGTAAAAGCCTTATTAAATATTATAACAATGGTGACATATTATAGTTAATCAATTTTTCTAATATTCATTAATTACTTACTTAAGTGAAGCCTTTATTTACGGCATAATTTGATATATACTGTGCTTTTCATAAACAATTTGGCATAATTTCTTTATAAAATTTAGGCTAAAGACCGATAAAAACGCATTTTACATGTTGTGCATGGACTATGCAATGCGATAAAGTCATTATTTTGGGCTATCATATTATATATATAAGCTTTTATAAAAATTTAAGTTGGTTTTTTTCTTTGATATAATTTATATATGAGGGATAAAATCTAATTTATGATTAAATTGTTCATTTGATGTCCAATGGATCTGTGATGAGGAAAAAACTGTATATAAGGCTAGTAGTGTGGTAATATGTTATCCTCATGATGTTTTGAGTTGACTATCTTAAGAAAAACTTTGAGAAACATTGCTTAGTTGTCCTCCTACATGCTCTATATTGTCTTTTCATTGAAGCAGATGCCTAACTTAAGACTTTAAGGAAGGAGAAGTATGCTAATTATGAAATATTAGGTGAGTTTATGAATAAAAAATATTAGATTAAGGGTGTTTTTTTTTTCAATTTTTTTTGTGGTGGATTGATAGTCTCCTGAAGAGGATACTTTATTTAGGGCAT